TTTCTTTGGCTCGCTTATCTACTGTTTTTTATTTTAACAGTACTCTATTGTCCTTTTGCTGCCGACGTTTAAATCTAGAAAAATTCAGGATTTATTTCAAACTTCTTAAGTTTTCTGGTTCTAGTAAATATTTTGGAAAAAGGCTTGCTGAAGTAGAGTTGGCATGGATAAATTGCCATGGATCTTTCTCCTCGTCAATGTTCTGGTCCATTTTCTGTTCTGAGAAAAAATTATTACATTTTGTCCAATATTTTCGAAACAAATCTTAGTAAGAAACTGTTTGATTTTATTACTTCCGAAAAAGTAGCTTGAAAGCAGTACGGAATGATTGACAAGCAGCAGAAGAGTAGCCGACTGAACTTACATAAACTTCAAACAAAATCAATTAAATTAATTGACACCATATTTGTTGCCTATCGCAGAGCTTCAAATAAATATTATGTTCGTCTTTTGTATCTTAAACAATAACTTACAGCGTTTTGTAAACAGAATTAGGCGGAATCGCGCAAAAATTCTCGATGTTGATATTGGAATTTGCACTCATTGTACTAACTTAACTTTCCTCTGTATAAGAAGACTGCGACTCGGAAAGATGACGCTCAGTTTCTTTTCTGACAAAAAAGTTACTTTTTGTCCGATATTTTCAAACCAAATCATAGTTTTTGTGGCACAACGATTGTGGCACACGCAAAATCAAAATCCAAAAATTCGTTAAAAAGATCAAGAAAACTTTGGGTCAACCCCGAATGAAGAGATCCTGGGTGGACCATTGTCTAAAAATGTTTTTTTTTCTAAGTTTGTCAACGGCCATACATCGATAAAACTTGAAAGACTAAAAATCTCTTCAATTTGGTTAAAAAACACTAATTTGGTATTTCGGAGTTTGATTTAACTTTTTGGCTGGATGACCTCTTGAAACGTTCGACTAATTAAATAACTCCACAAAACATTTTTCAGGTAAATAGATCTCTACAAGAAAACAGAACTCCTAATCAAAATTAAAGAACTTATTTTTGCGTTAGTCCAACTGGCCTGGCATAAAAATTACACACACCCATAAGGCAGCTAAATATACCGTTTTTTTTGCTGCAAATATTAGGTAAAACAAGGCTGCTCAACTAGTTGAGATTTTTTATTTTGTTATATAGTTGTCTGACTACAGGTTGCCTACGCATGTAAATTCTAAAAATCTACTTAATTTAACGCTTTTCTACCAGAATGTTTTATTGCTGGCATATGATTTATTTTGGAAAATTAAATCCTTATAATTATACGTAGTTTACGACTTTTTGAGAACGACTTTTTGTTGATTTTTGTTTATAAAGTTGTTATTAAAAATTATATTTGAATTGATCGGATAAGCATGGATAGCTATGTTTCTTTTTTCTTGGATTTCTTTTAATCTTTCGTTTAGACTTTGAAAAAATTACTGAACATTTGTGCTCACATGGCTTTTTAGCCAGACTAGTTGTGACATCTTTACTAGCCAATTCTCGCGGCTTTTAATCTGAAACCTTTTGAAATCCCAAAGTCAAAGCTCAAAACAAAACTTTTCATGTGTTTTATCCGTAAGCGGTTTCAAAAAACTGCTGGGTTTTAAGATTTGCCTAATATGGCAAATTGGAAATAAAGAACGAGCGATATAATTCGAACTACTAAAGCAAAGTTAATCAATCCAGTTTTGATAGTGGTTGACCAACCAAATCGTTACCAGGAGCAAAGTGTTTCACTTTGCACTGTACTTTCAATTTGCATTCTAAACCTTCAAGTTTCATTCAGGGTTTGGCCTCAAAATAATAAATCTTGTTTTATTTTTGGCCATTACTATTCAATGTCAGTAAAGTTTTTAGTAAAATAAAAAACGCAATTTCGTTAGAATCAGGTTTTTTTTTATTCTGCAACTCAATTAAAATTGGAGACTAAAGAGAATTTAACTAGCCTCAAAAACTTATTTCGTAAACCAAAATTTGAGAACTGTCAATTATTCTCAGCCAAAAACTCTTCAAAAAGTTTAATCGTGTTATAAGTGTTTTATAGAAAACACATTTTGCCAATTGGCTTGTCTCAGTTCAATTTGGAACAATTTACAATGCCAAAAAACTCCGCAAATGTAAACTCTTTCAGCTTTATAGGCAAAACTGACAAAGCGCGCTTGAAATATCCAAGCAAAAAAAGTTCAGCCTTTCCGAGCCGCTAAAAAGTATTCAAATATTGACTAGATAAATTTGCTTTCCCAATTGCAAAAAGAAATATTATTTCATTGGGGCATATTTTTTCTTCGCCAAAATTGTTCTGGCTACGTTTTGCACCGCCAAAGTTGGTTTGTTGGAAAACACAATATTGAAAAAAAATTCATTCAGCTACTTTGAAACTCAAAACAAAAGTTATCAACAGAAACTAAAAAAAAAATTCGAGAAAATATGCGTTTAGAAACTTGGATATACGGTTAAGTGAGAATTTTGGTGTACAATCATTGCCGCAAACTGTTATGTCTGGTTATATAAAATTTTTGAGAATATGCACTCATTACAGAAACTGCAGAATAGTAATAGCTAGTTCAAGGAAGTTTATAAGATCACTAATGTATCGTAAAACATCCACTTTCTAGCTTCGATGAAAAAAAATTTACCTACTTCTTAAACCTAATAAAACTAGTCAAAAACATAAAATCTGGACATAAGAAACAAAAATTGTTTGGGAAACAAGAGTCACGTTTTTGGTGCATCTTTGTTTTGAAATTCGAAAACCTATATTTATTTTTTCAAGCAGTGACCCAGGTTGACAAAAATTTTTTACCATACAATTTCTATATATAAAAAATTCCCAATGAAAACTGTATGACAAACACTTTTTGTTATTATAAAATTGTATGACAAACACTTTTCCAAACAAAAACAAAAATTCAAATTTTTTGATGAAGATAAACTCTGAAAATTTTCTATTTGTGTTCGTTACCGAACGCAAGAGATAGAGACCTTGGCTTACGAAACTAGAGTCACCAAATTTTGAATGATCTTGCATTTACAACGCATAGGATACGGCCTGAACTGTCTTTGAGTATTTCTGAATACAAAACTTTTAAACTTTGAAATTAATATTAAAAGGCAGTGATCAAGGCCTATAAAAACCTGTCATAAAAAAGAAATAAGCTTTTTGAGAGTTTTTGAAAGAATTATAAAGTGAAAAGGAAAAATAATCTAACAATCGGTATTCAGGACTATTTAATGCAAATCTTTGCTTGTGTACAAAAACTGTTTTGCGGTTAAAAAAAACTGAAAGCTTTTAGAGCATTTTCGAATTTTTTGAAAAAAAATTTTTGTCGCCGTATATATGGACATTGTATGATGAGCAGTTTTTCCATACACTGGATGTATGGAATTGTATGATAAGCTTTTTTCAAAAAAAAAGTCTAATATTTTTTGCTATCAGTTTTCTTAAAGTTCATTAAAACTGACTGCTTTTTCTGCTATTTCTAGATTTATTTTTAGGTTTTCGAAAGTTTTTATGATCAGAAATGTTTCAAATGCATATCACACAAAATCTATACAAAGAAATTGTATGATATGTTTTTTTTCCATAAACTTAACGTATGGAACTGTATGATGAATTGTTTGGTGAATAGAGTTCTATGGTAAGCATTTTCGATAAGTGAAGGACAGCCCGGGGAACTTATATTGAATTGGAAATAAAGATTCAAATCAAAGACAGCTGGGAAAAAAAGGTTAAAAATTTTTCCGAATTAAACTTCTTTAAGAAGTTTTCTTTCAATTTTTTCTTCATAATCCGACCAAAAAAAGGCAAAAAGCCTGATCAAAACAGTTTTTGTGACGATCTTATCATTTTAGTTGTTTTTACTAGAGATAAGAAGTATACAAGAAACAAATCAAGTTAAGTTTGGGTGAAATATGTTTGAGTAGTGTTCCCGATTGCCTTTAGAACCATTTGGCGTCGATCAAATTTTTCTTAGTCGGTCGTAAAGATAAGGATGGAAAATCAACCTTGCATTGTTTTGCATAGAAGAGACAAGTAAAATATTGACTTTCTTCCGTATTCCTCAATCCAATTTCTCAATCACACAGAGCCCAATTGATGAAAAATTTGTTTTGTCCGCACATATTTGCCAAATTTTAAAAACTCTTTCATTTCCACTCACACAAGCTTGTCAATCAACGGTTACCTTAGAAGAGTGACCAGACGGGAGAGTTAATGGCACGGCCTATTTTTTAATAAATGAAAATCAAACCAAACAAGACTTCTCGTATCAGGGCGAATTTCTGAATGCTCCGACTGCCTTTTAAGGTCTATGGAGTAGTACTCACTTTTGAAAAAATTGACGAAGAAACTTTCAAAAAAACTAAAAATTGTGTGCTATGTAAAGAACAAAATAATACCTTTAGCTAATATAAGAACAACTTCTAAGACAGATTAATTCTCCGCTTTTGTGTGAATACATTAAAATCTAGCGCGCTCATTACCCCAAATTGGCCAAATTGGCAACCTTCAAATTCCCATAACTTCTTAAAAAAAGATCAGAGGTGAAAAATCGTTCTAAATTTGAGCTCAAGACAACAAAACCTTTCGGCTGGTATATAAAAAAAATCCGTCAAAAACGGCTGCTTAAAAAATCGAAGTTTGCTGAAGAAAAAAAACCATTAATAATTAATGAAACTGACAAAACTTGACAAAATTTATATTCTATCTAAATAGCCAAACATGCCAGAATAACTTCATAGAAAACCGCATATCCAATAAATTAAGGTTTATAAAAGGGAGAAATTTAAGTAGTTTAGCTTGTGATAGAAAAAAACATAAGCAATAAAAAGAGGAGAGCACTCATCATTATGTTCGCTGGTATCAAAATTAAAATCATTAAGATTACGGCTATACATTAATATTAGTAATCATTTATCTAGTTTGATGGTTTTTCCCAGTTTCCGGAATTTGTAATAAAAACTTGAAATAAAAATAGTATTTAGTTTTTTTTTTTGATTTTTGGCCATTTGTGTTTAGTTTATCACAAACAGAGGTCCTCTTTGTATTTTAAACCATTTCAATATTGATTCAGCTACAATATAATTAATGATCCTTTCAATGGAAAACAAGCAAACAACTACGGCGAGGATACTGGAAAAAGATATTGGCTCACATAATGAAGTATAAGCCAAACGTTTAAAAGTGACTTGGGATAGCATTTGTGGGAGCCCCAATTGGCGATGCGCTTGTTGAATTCGGATGATGAATCATGTATGAATTGTAGACATCTATGGGTCGGATGCCCTTGAACTTCATGTAGAGTTTGACCTGTTTGGGCACTTCTGCCAGGACCTTCTTAGAGAGACTTCGCTGGTATTCGGCCATCTTGCTGGGGACAAACGAGGTGCCAAACACCTCTCTTAGAGACACGAACTGAAACAATCAAAAGTAGAGAATTAGATTTCTTCGAACATAATTAAGTTTCTGATCATTTGAACTATTATTCAAAATTGAAAGTATAAAAACTTATAGTAAGAGGCAGGGTTGATCAATAGCTTTTGTAATGTAAATCTTGTGATTTTATGATTCTCATTGGTTGATTTTTTCCATTCATAGAGCCCTCTTTGGGTAGTCAGGAAAACAAAAATCCCGAGGAAGGGCGTCCGTAACTTCTAGGCAACCCCGTCCGCTGCTTAATCCGCCACTGTGTGGTATACAGTTTTTGAATCATGGCCTTAAAAATATTTACAATTTGTGTATAAGACAAAACCGAAAAAAAAAGCTGCTCGTTAAACTCTCTTAAGTTACGATCCCTGTTTTTTCGATCTATCGAACCTTCGGTCATACAAGCTCTACGAATGACTCACCTGCACTATGTCTCTCTGTGTCTTCCTGCCATGGACATCTCTCAACATCTTCATGTCCGAGTCCAACTGGTGCATGGCCTCAAAGTCCCCCTCCCCCACTCCCACTATTATGATGGACAGGGGGTACTTGGAGGCCTACAAGAAACAAGGAAACAACTATTATTTTCATAACTGACTTACATTGAAATTTACTACAACTTTTTAACTTACATTCGATTTATTTGAATTAAATATTTAAAGCACAAATTCGAGACTGGTGAGTGTCTAATGCTTAACTGTTTAGATGAACAGTTTTTTAATGACATAAATTTTCCTAATTTGTCCAGTTTTTCCTCATCATAATTTTCATAGAAATAAACACACAAACATACAATTTATTAAAAAAGCCTTTAGCGCAAATATAAACTAAGTTTGAGGGCGGAGCGCGCGCCGGAAAAACGCGATTTTTTGGTCAACATTTTCCAAAAGGTACCTAAAAACGCCCTTTTTGTCTGTTTTTCAAAGTTTTGCCTGCGGCGCAGAAAATTTGGCTAATTATGGTTTTTTTAAAGCTTTTCAGTGTTTCAGGAGAGCTCGGAAAATTAATTTGGTCAACCTAAAAAAAAGAGACCGACAAAACTCTCAATATTTTTGTTTAATTCACTTCCCCCTCGAGAAAATCTTAGATCCATCCAGCTTGGAGCAAAATCAATTTTTGCTTAAATTTTTGTTTCGATTATCAAAATTGATGCGAATGAAAATCGTTTCCTAAGCATAAATCTTTCGCCACATAGCATTCATGGACCAAAGCTTTGCATAATAAAAAGAGCCAAGAAACAGCAGAAAAAAATTCAATCAAACCAACGAAGGTGAAAAACATGGTTCGCTTATCTAAATTTTCTACATTTTTCACATTTTTCACATGAAAAGTTTGTTCAGTAAAATTCCATTCAACTTCAGTATTTTTTAATTATTTATTATAACTCAACCCAAATTGAGAGATAAAAGAACCAAAGGCACTTTTCAAAACTTTGTTGCACCAATTCATTTTTACTATTGAAGAGCCTAAATTCCTTTTTCAGCAAATGAAATTGAATTGAAACTAAAGTATTTCACGTTTTCAGAGTGCCAATTAACTTGCGGTATTGAAAAGCGTGATTTGTTTTTCTTCAGCAAAGGAAATTCAATCGAAATAAATAGCAGAAAACCTAAATTAGGACAAAATAATTTTAAGCAATTTTGTCTAAAAGGAAAACGAAAAACACTGAAAGGGATTTTTAGTTCTTTTCCCATTGTTAAATCGTTTTTAAAAAACAGACAAGACTGCTCGTATCAGGGCAAAGCCCTGAAAGTTCCGACTGCCTTTTAAGGTTTATAGAGCAGTTATAACAAAAATATCATGAAACTTTTTTTTTCTAAAATTTGAAAACTTTTCTATGAAAATCATCCCCCACACGCCCTATAAACTACAAAATAATAGATTTTGCTCCTTGTAACAAATCAATTATGGCAAATACGCTTCTTTCAGCTAATTTGGAGCGATTGCTAAGAGGGATTAAATCTCCGCTTACGCGTTAATAACGCGAAATATATCGCGCGTTAATTGTCCCAAATTGGCCAAAATGGCCATGTTTAAACCCCCATAACTTAACGAAAATAGATCACAGGTGAAATACCTTTTCAAATTTAAGCTAAGGACAACAATTGCTTTTGAATTATTTTAAAAAGTTCAGTCAAAAATGGCTAGTTAAAAAGTCGAAATTTGTCTGAAGAAAAAAAAATCCACCCGAGCACAAATTTTCCCTTACTTTTGTATCAAAAGTCGGAACAAAAACTTCTAACAAATCGATTCAACTTCTTCCCTTCAACCCTATTACAACCGAAACAATCCTGATCAAAACTGCCACGTTTTTTGTGGTGACTTTGTCACTTTAGTGGTTTTTTATTACAAATTGAGTCTAAAAACTGAGAAATAATTGTTCCGTGCCTAACAATTATTTGTTTTCCTTGTCCAAATTTCAAAGAAAAAAATGAAAAGTTTATGCTTGGGCTGGTTTTTTTGTTCAGTCTTTTTTCGACTTTTCAACTATCCATTTTTGACAAAATTTTAGTATCATCTCATAGATATAGTTGCTGGACAGCAATTTTGAAAAAACTGATTTTTCCCTTAAGATTACTTTTGATTGTTTGATTTTGGAACTACTTCGAGGAATATTATTCAAATTGAAATATTTAACGACCGCTAAACTGTATTAAAGCGTAAGCGGCAAAAAATTCTTCAAAATTGAACTAAGGCAAGCTATTTGCTCTTAATGTTACGTTACAGCACGCAAATATGTCACCTGCTAAGTTTCTTAGCTTCTAGGTGATAAACTTATATAATATTTTGACGACATATGGCCAATACAATTTTAAAAACCTTTTATTTCTTATGAATCATATTAAAACAATGGATCTGAAATTTAAAACTAATTTTGAAATATTTTATCAATTTTAATAAAAGTTCTTATCAAAGTAGTATCAATTTTAAAAGTAAATCCATCACGGTTATTGTTCCGACTTTCGATACGAAAGTAACGGAATATTTGTGCTCGGGGTGGGTTTTTTTTTCTTCAGACAAATTTCGACTTTGTAACTAGCTATTTTTGACGGAATTTTTTTATATCATTCGAAAGGTATTGATGTCCCGAGCCTAAATTTGAAAATATATTTCACCTATGATTATTTTTTGTAAGGTAATGGGGGCTTAAAGATTGCCATTTTGGCCTATTTGGGACAATTAACGCGCGATATATTTCGCGCTATTAACGTGTAAGCGGAGATTTAATTCCTCTTAGAAATCGTTCCAAATTGGTTGAACGAACCTTATTTGCCATAATTGATTTGTTACAAGGAGTGAAATTTATTCTTTTGTACTTTATATGGCGTGTGGGGAGATGATTTCATAAAAAGTTTCAAATTTCGGAAATTTTTTCAATTTTTTTTTTTATTACCAGTCGGAACATGCAGGGCTTCGCCCTGATACGAGCAGTCTTGTTTTGTATGTGTGCCATTCGCACTTTTGTTCTTGGTAACCGAACTTGGTCAAAATTTTCTTGTATTTTGTAAATATTGTTGAATAAAACGTCAGTCAAACACAAATGTTTGATTATCTGCTGATTAATTGATTTGGAAGCAAAAGTAGGTTTAAACTTCAGTGCAATAAAAAATAGCCAAGTCAAATACAATCAAACTGCCCTCTGTCTGTTGATTTAGTGATGTTAATCTTTTGTTGTTCTTTTGAAGCTTCTTCTCTTGAACGAATTTGATGACAGGAATTTGTTATCAATAAAAAAAAATAAAATTAATTTACAAATTTACAAATTAATACACAAGGGATTGCTTTGTTAACATTGTTCCAATTTGCAGCTGAAGTCTGCTACAGATCTCTGAGTTGTCAGTTTTGCAATTGAATTCATCAATTCTCTAACACATTCAGCTTTAGATAGTGTTATTAAAATTTCTCGGTCTCTATTTTGGTTCAAAAAAACTTCATAGTAGTTTTTCAAACATTAACTGACAAAATGCTTCGATGGTGTGTGACTTTCAGTCTTTTGTTTATGAAGGGTATGTAAAACAGCAAAGAAAAGATGCAATAGATCTAAGATATTCTCGGTGGAAATCTGCCAAAAACCTCATTTTTTGAGACAATTTCAGAACTGCGTTTTTTGGCGATGGATAATTGACTTGTGCAGAAATTTTTGACCTTGAATGGGTGCGGTTTTTGAAAATTTTGTCGACTTTTTTTCAAGCCACCAAAAAAATTTTGGAAAATTTAGTTTGAAAAAAATGCGGTTTTCGACGCGCATTTATTCACAAAACTAATGTATGTTTACGCCTTGAGAAGAAGTGACGGTGTAGTCGGTCAAAATCGGATGTCGTCAAATATTACCGAAGAGGAGAGTGAAATGGGAACCCCTCGGAATAAATGAGGAACCAAAAATAATGGGGTTATGGGAGGGTCGCAACCTGCCTCCCCCCCCCCCCCGTCCTCTCTCGGCAGAGCAATCTCTGAGTGATGGTTTGGGTGATGATGGATGATGGATGTGTATGGTTTGGGGAGAGGGGGGGGGGGGTACTTGCCTCTACGATGGCGCACTTGGTCTTGTCCATGTCTGAGATGTGTCCATTGGTGATGATGAGGAGGATGAAGTAGTGCAGTCCACTCTGGTACTCGGAGGCAGCCCTAAACACAACAACACACACACACTCAAACTAACTATGACAACTCTAATTAAAAAATTTAGTCAAGTGAAAAGTATGTATAATCTCAAACTAAGAACAAAATACGCATATCGAAATCAAATACATGGATCAAGTATCAGGCGCGGCTCTAGGACTTTAGGTCGAACAAATTGATATTCCGAGCTCTTCCAAAACACAAATAATCTTGTTTCAACAAAAGTTGTAGAAAATGATTTGACAGTTCAAAACGAGGAACGCTTTCATTGGTGAGGCGGTCTAATTCCTGAAGGGGGAAGATGGGTATGGGGGTGCATCCTTGCTAAATCCGCCCCTGCTGTGAGTGAAAGATTTTTTGGCGGAATATCAATTTGAGCATTTTTTTCTTTATAGACTTTTTTGCACTATTTTGATTTTACGATTATATTTTTATAACTTTTCCCGTTGAAACTGGAAATTGATCGAATTTTTCGCCAAAACTGGAAACCAATCGAAAAATGAGTTTTTCCCAAAAATTAGTTTTGCTTGCTAAAAGGAACCGACAGTTCCTTGCAGAGAGTAACTCCTGATTGCAGCAGGAAACGACTCTTCCTTGCAAAACATAATTCACGGGAATAAAGTTCAAAACGTGAAAACAAACGCAATATCAATTACCCCCCTGGCAACTCTATACCACAGAAGAGGCTGAGTTTAAACTAAAAAATATCAATTTCGTAAAATTGCAGATAATTGGTATTTTGAGGCCAATTTGCATCATTAAAACCTATTCCAAGCTATTTTAATTGAAACTCCTAAGAACAGTAGAAGAAGGATAGGTAAATAAATACATACTTTGCTTGCATGCAAACTTTGTACAAAAAATAGATTATAACTAATTTGAAACTCGAGCAATGAATTTTGGGTGCTCGTAATAATCGACTAAAAGTTTTTCCCAGTGAACGATTATCCAAACAAATCAAGTCAACTGAATAATCTGATTGCAGAACCTGCTTTTCGGAGGAATGTTTTCTCAAAAACTGGCCCAAAAATTTAACAGTTGTTCAAGGGTTTTTTCACACACTCTGACCATCGGATTGTTTTGTTAAATTTGAAAAAAACACCCATTTTTGATAGGCGACCCGACCCTTTGTTTACAAAAAACATTGTTCATTTAGAGTCATGTCACCATTCGCCAAAACGCTGACTACAAAGATTACAAACGCAATCAGGTGCGTTTAATATATGATCAAATATTCGAGTGCAAAGATATGGGTGGTATAGCATGGACTCATGTACATTTTTCAACTTGTATTTTTACCCCATTCTCGGTATTTTTTTTCGATTTGTATTTTTTATCACAAATTCGGTACTTTTTCAAAAAAAAAATTTACCACAAACTCGGTACTTTTTTCGATTTGTATTTTTTTACCACAAACTCGGTAATTTTTCAACTTAAAAATAATACAGAGAAGTTTTCACTGACAGCGTGGCGTTGTTGATGATGTGGCTGAAGTTAGTTGGCTGTGCCAGTTTGGTGGCCGAGAGAGCATACCTGTATGCATCCAGGATGCCCTGCACACCCACCACGTGCGGATTGGAGGTGTTGTCGTTCTAAGCAGTCAATTCGAGAAGTGTTCACAGAGCCTAATGGTATCTGAACACTACAATAACACTATACTTTGAACTATAATGAGTCTGTTATTTTAAACTAGTGCTCAACGCAATTGAAACAGTTTTACGTTCTCGAAATATTGAAGCGTAGCACAACACTCTTGGAGGAAAACGGGAATCTATTACACTAACCCCCTCCCCCCCCCCCCCCACACGCATTTAAAATTCATCTTCGAAAATTAATTTAACGTTGTTAGGTTTTCATGAACTTATGCATGGTCGGTGGACCTGAACAGATTTGTTATCCGTACTTTACTACCTAAAACTACGCATTTTGCTGTTCTAGCATCTGTGTACACTGAAATTGGAAACCCTGAAATGTGGGGGATTAGTTGAAGAGCCGAAGAATGAGAACTTAATGGTGATGCATTAGCAATAGTGGGGGGGGGGGGGCGTTTTTACCAGTGGATGACAGTCCTGTGTGTGTGAGCTGTTGAAGAACTGTCCCCCGAAGCCATAGACGGGGAACAGTTTGTCCGCGTCGTAGTCCTCCACAATCTGGCCCACTGCATCTATGGCTGTGGTGTACTGGTTGAAGGGGTATGCCGGGTTGAAGTAGTGAAGAGAGGTCTGGTCCGAGGGGTCACCTGAGAGTATGAGAGGCAGAAAAGTTACAACAAGAGAGCATTCACCCCATCATTTGCGCATTAAGGCACAGTTGGTGGCTCTTTTTTCCCCATTTCACACAAACACACCAGTATTATGGTGCAAAGATGGGCCATAATACCTTTTACAATGTCAAGTATGAATCTCAAGTATTTTTTGGAGGCCCAATTAGTCGGCATATCTTTTTTTTGTAATAATCGGATAAGGAACGCCAAAAAATTGACCCCCCCCCCCCCCCACTTGGCCCGAGCATCAATTTTATGGTGTAATGAGTGGGTTTACAAGGTTAAATATAAAAAATTAAAAATCTTTGTCATGGCCTAATTACTCAGCGCGTCAACTTTCATACCATTCGGACAAGGTGAAAAAAAGAAAAAGAAAAAAGATACAAAAATTTACTTATAAAAAATCGCAGTACGAGGAGAAAGAAAGAACAAGGTAAGAGAATCTATTTGGCAGCACAACTATTTTTATCCTTTCCCCGCTGTGAATTTATACCATTTAAACATTTCTTCAGTTTCTCCCATTGTAAAAAAAATTAGCATGTGATCTAATTACGATAGATGGAATTTGTTTGATTCTCATTTTCAAGCTTGTAAAGTTAGCGACTACGGCATAAAATTGGGTTTATTTAAATATTTTAGAAGCGGGAGACGGAAGGGTTAATTTCTCCCATTTGAAATTGAAGGCACCTTTCGCGACTTTGGCGCCACTAGAGAAACTGCAACAAAGAATGCAGCGTATAAGCAAAGTGTATAACTGGCTTGACAACCATCTTGTTTTGTAGCTTCATGTGTAAAATTTACAATGAAAAATGATCGTCGAAGCGCAGGCTCTAACCCCCGCACTCGAAAAACTACCAAAAGAGCTGTTTTCCCTGTACCCAACCCCGTAAAAAATTTAGTCCGAAGTTTTGATTATTAATTTTAGACCCCCGAACTGCAAACTATTACAAGTAATTTTTTTGTTCACATTCTCCGATTGTTTGATTGTTTCACAAAACAAAAGGAGGCTATTACAGGCATAATTACTCGCATAAAACACCTCTTTTTGTCATAAAATTGATACTTCCCGAGCTGATGGTCTCGACTCATGATTTTAACGAAACGGTTGAACGATGTCCGTTTTCGACTTATTCAGTCGAACGATGACGGTTTTCGACTGTTTGAGTCGAACGATGTCTAAGTTCGACTGTTTGAGTCGAACGATGTCTGTGTTCGACTTAAGCGGAAACTGTTCCAATTTGTTCGACTTTTTTCGACTTTACCCCGTCCGGCTAATGGTTTAACCCTGTTCGATCCCGTTCGGCCCATGGATCGACCCTGTTCGACTCATGATTCGACCGTGTTCGACTCTATCAAACCAGCTCGACTCATGATTCGACATTGTTCGACCCATGATTCGACCCTGTTCGACTCATGATTCGACCCTGTTCGACTCATGATTCGACGCTTTTCATTTCTATCGATCCCGTTCGACCCATGATTCGACTCTGTTCGACCCATGATTCGACCTTGTCCGACTCTATCAACCCAGCTCGAGTCATGATTCGACATGGTTCGGCCCATGATTCGACCCTGTTCGACTCATGATTCGACCCTGTTCGACTCATGTTTTGACCCTGTTCGACCCATGTTTCGACCCTGTTGACCCATGATTCGACCCTGTTCGACTCATGATTCGACCATGTTCGACTCATGATTCGACCCTGTTCGACCCATGATTCGACCCTGTTCGACTCTTGATCCGACCCTGTTCGACTCATGATTCGAACCTGTTCGACCCATGATTCGACCCTGTTTGGCTCAAGATTCGACCCTGTTTGACTGCATCAAACCTGCTCGACTTATGATTTGACATGGTTAGGTCCATGATTCGACCCTGTTCGACTCATGATTCGACCCTGTTCGACTCATGTTTTGACCCTGTTCGACCCATGTTTCGACCCTGTTGACCCATGATTCGACCCTGTTCGACTCATGATTCGACCTTGTTCGACTCATGATTCGACCCTGTTTCACTCATGATTCGACCCTGTTCGACTCATGATTCGACCCTGTTCGACTCATTATTCGACCCTGTTTCACTCATGATTCGACCCTGTTCGACTCATGATTCGACTCTTTTTGACTCATGATTCGACCCTGTTCGACTCATAATTCGGCCCTGTTCGACTCATGATTTGACCCTGTTTGACGAATGATTCGACTTTGCTCGACTATAGTATTCATTCGATCGTCTTAATCTGCTACGAAAATCTGACATCAGATGCAGAAAATCGGGCATCGAAACTCGGATGCAGAAAAATCATCTCTAGTTCACGCGATCAATTTTGGGCAAGCTCCCGTAGCTCAGTCGGTTAGAGCGCCGTACTTATAGACAGATTGAGCAATGCGGATGTCGGCAGTTCGAGCCTGCCCGGGAGCAGGAATGTTTTTGCTAATTCTGAGCATCTGAGCATGATTAGGGTCTCATTTATACAACATGAGCATTTGCTTTCTGGCGTTTCTCGGTTTGAGACCCATTTTATTTTTGCTTTATTGAACCATTATTGAACCCAATAATGGAGCAGTGGACCATTATTGAACCCAAGTACAATAATGGTCCACTGCTCGATTGTTATGAAAATTGACACGCAGAATAAATAAGCCATGTCCTCATGTTTAAACTAAGCCCGACTTAAGGGAAGTGCGAAGCTTGATTTAGTCTCCATTGCCTATTTAGTCTCCATTGATTTAGTCTCCATTGCTTGATTTAGTCTCCAGCGCCTATATATAATAATTTTGAATTTTGAGGGGAGAGTGCGCGCCGCAAAAACGCGACTTTTTGGTCAACATTTTACAGAAAGTGCCTAAAAACCTTTTTTTGATTTTTGCCCTGTTGAAAATCTGCACCCCCCCCCCCACCCTCTCGAAAAAATCCTAAATCCGGTAGATCCGCCCCCTGGATATTTACAACGTATGGTCGCTGTCGCTGTGATACCATAAATGGTGCGACAGATGACTACCAAGGAACCATACATTGCATTTGCATTTAATGAACAGTTGTGTGATCGCCACTCACCATTTGAGGTTGAGAAGTCAATAGCGACGGTGAAGTTCAGCTGGAGTCCTGCCTGGACGAAGTGGCTGAACTCCCAGTCTTCCTCCAGCTTGTATCTCTCCAGGAAGATGAGTCCACTGTGCTTGTAAGAACTCTTCTTCTCCTTCTTCTTCGGGTGGATCAACTGCACAAAAAGTGTTATAACAATAAAAATCTGTTTTCAGGCTTACATTTTTTTTTAAAAAAAAGAAGAGTTAATAGTGTAGTTTACAAATTAATTCCAAGCCTGAGAAAACATCAATGGACCATGTGGCTTGTTATCAAACGTGCCTGAAAAATAAGGCAAATTAGGCAATAAATGTTACTAAATTGATCTCGGTCCAAGACGCGCGAGGTCATTTTTTATTGCGGCGACCATAAGTGACCCGGACTGCGGTGTGCAAATTTGATTGCAATTATTAGGGTCGCAGGTAGGTTATATTTTTCAAAAATAGATTATAATTTTGGTCGAAAATAGATCAAAATAGGTTATATTTGTACCTAATTTTTAGGAGAGGCGTTTAGAATTTTCAGAGCTTTGTCGAAACCCTAGAGTGTCCAATTTTAGCCCAACTGAGTTTTTTTGTGCGCATTTTCCCTCTAACTGTACATTGGCGCCAATTTCGCCGTTCGAAAAGTTTAAGGGTCAATCAGCCAACAAAGGACGTCATAAGTTACAACTCAAAGGAGGCCCTTCGGGAAAGTTTGGCGACCAGAATAGAGGAAAAGGTTGCTGAAAATCCCCCCTTCCTTTAAATTGTTTGCAAGCACTGCTGAAAAAAAAACTCAACTCAGTGTAAAAAATACCTCGAACTCCTTCCTGCTGGTTGGTGATGTGAGTTCTGCGGCTGTGGTGAAGAAAGTTCCGATGAGGTCGTGTCTCGAACAACAAACAAATAAATCATATTAAACGTATCCGAGGATTATGACAGCAAATAACAAAACCACCAAAACACACCAACGGTTAACAACTCTTTCTTTTTTTTAAAAAAAGCGGCTTTTTTCCTATTTCAAATTCTTAAGAATATCAAAATTTACAGTTGAGTTTTTTTTCAAATTTACATCTGATTTAGGGGGTGAAATTAGGCATTTTTTTAAAAAATTTTGGTGATTAAACTTGTAATAATTGCTGATTAAACCAATAATTGCTTCTTTGAAGGCAACGCATAGTTCGAAGTTTGTGTTTGTTTTCAACCAAATTGACGCCACCGGTTCAATAAGCATAGTTGTTTATTTACTTTCCGTCCCGCTCGTGGTCGAAGCAGTCTATTTTGAGTTGCAGGTGGGGGTTGTTGTCGCAGAATGTGGCGCAGTTGATGCGGAAAGTGGGCCAGTTCGGGTTAAGGTCATCCCGGATCACAGGCGTCTGACCGACAGGGGTGAAACTCCTGCTCGTTGAAGGACAATTATTAATCAAAAATTCAGAGTCGATTCAAATTGCTCAAAATTTCACTTGTTGTCTAAATTTTGTCCATTAACTTGGTTTCAGTGGGCAAAATTGTTTTTGACGGATCTTCGCATAGTTTTGAGTGCGCATGTAGTTTTAGTTTTGAGAATTATGATCTTTTTGATGACTCCGATAACATTCTATAGGTCTGATTTCTAGGTTTTCAAAAAATTTTGACATCTTTTGTAATTTAATCGTTTGTTCATATTGTTTTAGAACTGTTGCCTAATGACACGTGACCTACCCGTCTCTGGTCTTCTTGTGGAACACTAGGAATGGGTCTGACTTGGTGATGAAGTCCTTGTCGTCCAGCTTCCTTCCCACGAAGTTGAACACATAGCTTTGCTGCAACACAAAACACAGAACAGCTCAAAAGTAGCTAAGATGTTTGGAAAATGAAGACCAATTGATTATTTAGAGAGAATAATATTTTAGCATGTTAATTAGTTATTGAAAAACTAATTGCTACTGGCAATTAGGCAATAGTAATTAGTATTCTTCAGTTTTCAACAGTGACTTTGAAAAAAATGTAGAAGAAAAAATTTGATTAGATAGTTGAATTCGTTGCAAACAATGAAAAAAAAAACTTTGATTAGATAGTTGAGTTCGAAATTATCGACTGACCCTGCAGTCTACTGTTTCCCGTGCAGTGACGTATAGAGTGGCATTCTTGTTCCCGGAGTCATCCAGAAGCCTCCCATGTCGCAAGTGACCTTGAACTATCTCTGACAAGTTGACCTTGATTGACCCCAACTCATCTGCTTTCTTCGGGTTGGACAGACCCTCGTCACAGTCGTACCTAAAGCATACGTGGGAAAACTTTCAAAATCTTGAAAGAATACAAATCATAAGAAGTTTTCGAACATCTAATTGCTATTTTTTCCTTAAAAACTTTTTGAGAATCCCTCAGCGGAAGAACAGCGGAAAAAAAAAATTTTTCTTTGAAGGAAATTTTTAAAACTTTTTTTAGCCCAAGTGGTACCTATTTGTTTAACTGGTTCATGAGGATGAGTCATAATGGAATATGAGTATGACTCACAGACAGAACTTGAGTGCCTGTTTCCTCTCGAAGTGGTAAGTGAGGAGCATCTTGGTGGTGAAGTCAGGGTTCAACGAGTTCTCCACTCGCTCACTGCGCCCAATCTACATTCAAATTGAGCAAAACATCAAACATTGATAAAAAAGGTAAATAATTACAACCCCCCCCCCCCACCCACCCACAGTTTCCGCCCCCTGCCTCTTCACACCACCTTTCAATTTCAATTTCGAAAAGTCCTTCAACAGTGTCACAATGCAGTGAAACTTGGTGAACAGTTTAACAATTGTGAACAGATTTTCTTTAAACCTTACATCGTAACAATAAGCGTTTAGCCACAATAACATTTAAAACAACTTGAAAATTTAAAACTTAACAGGTGGGGATGGGAGTGGAAAAGAGGCGAGATGATTAATTCATTCACTTAGTTTTGGAAATCGAGCAACCGACCAATATCTTAAGAAAAAACAAGATTTACCTCCTCATAGTTGTCATTTTCTTCATTCTTCAGCTGCAAAATGCACACTGAAACAAAATGAAAAATTAATCCTGATAAGACTAATGTTGTATACACTGGTCTGGCTGAAAACTGGCAGAATTCGACTAACTTGGATCTGACTTTGAAGCTATGTCTTTATTTTTCAGGCTCCTGAAACAAATCTGATTTCAAAACTAATATGGTTGAATAAATATGACTCGCAGGCAATAAGGCAGGACTATGATTTGCATTTTGCATTCAGTACCTCGTCATTACATTGGCTGCGATGATCTGATTTATGTATCGACTGAATGTCAACTTTTCAAATCACTTTATATTGGTCGCAGAAGAATTCGGTTAAATTGAAGTCGACAAACGGTTCAACCATGGTTGGTTCGTTGGTCGAATAGATTTTTTTGATAGGTATCAAAATCAAACTTTAATCTGCTGCAGGCCATTTTTGAAGATTTATGGGAAATACAACGTTTTTATTTTATGTAAGCAAATAAAACCAGCACTGAAGTTAAATGGATAGTAATTGATTTTGCCGATTTCCAGAGGCAACATTTTTGTCTTTATAAAAGGTTGCGGATGTGAAATTCAGGACATAAAATTGATTATTTTGTCATTAAAAAGTAGCGAGCATCCAATTTCAATCATTAATAATCGATTATAGTATGATTTTAGTACCAGTCTTACAAAACTTGAGAAAAAAATGATTTTAATTAATTATTCATCAATTATAACCTCTCTTTTTGAAATCAAATATAATCAATTATAATACAGTATAATCGATTGAAATCGATTACTTTTATGCGTTTGATTTGCAGAAAAAGTCCATTATAATCGATTATGAAGGTTACTAATCCACTTTGTTTGCCCGTTTTGTCTTCGACCTTGCACATGATTTGCTTATATTTTATGTTTTGGGTAGACGTATGTTTATGTGAAAAATGGTAAAGTTGTTTTTACACTTTTCAAATAAATTCAAATTTTTAATGTTTTTGTTTTCATTTCCTCTTGATTATAGCTGTTTCATGATGTACTTTTCAAGTTTTTTTTGCCACCAAAACATCAGCACACTGCTTTAGATTAATGATTCATATACAATAGTCATAATTCAACTACCGCGGGATTATTTCAACTAAAATGAAGGGATCTCTACGAAACTTTTGTTTCGTAGTAAAATTTTGTGTTCAGATGAACCAAAGTGTGACAAAACATCTCATTTTCAAAGATTTTTGACAGAAAAAGGATTATAATCTCTGAAAAGATAATATACGAGATAATAAGAGGCTTTCGAAAAAAAAAAATTAATTATGTTTGATTATAATTTAATTATAAATCACGAAAAAAGTTATCATTATAACGGATTATAAATCGTTTAAACATCTAAAATTGGCGCTTATAGTTAATTAAAATTTTGATGAAAGTACAATAGTAAATGTAATATAATAGACTATTTTTTCATTTTAATGAGTGCGGGAGAGGTCAATTTCTTGCAGATATGTGTAGGATACAGGAGTTCTGAGCAAAACTAAATCTTTAGCAGAAAACAGATTCGTTAGCAGATTCGTTTGGTCTGTCACCGTCGTTTTTCTTGCATATAGTTTTTTTTATGCACATTTATAACTTGGAAGGCTTTGCGGCATGTTCAGCAACAATGGCAAGGCATGTCCCTGACATATTTTCTAGAAAAACTTAAGCAAAAGCCCACTCAACAAGATTGTCAAAATTAAAAAAAAAGTAACACGAGCAGAATCGTGTAATTATAAAAGTTCTAGGAAATGTTTTCAATTTCTAATGAACATAAGCTTGCTGGAAATTTTTCACCAAGTTTTTATCTATAGAATATTGAAAAAATTCTTAGAAATTTTATAGTTTTACAATTCTGGTAGAGTTATTTTTAAATGACTTTTGCATCCATTATCATTTTTTTATAACACATTCTTTTCGATATTCTTACTCCAGTTTTTGTTCACAAGATTTACATACATAATTTTCGAGCGCCCGTAGATATTTTTCAATTTTGTAGGTGTGTTCACTATAGTCATCTTAAAATCACCTCATTAAACCAAATCGATCAAGTTGAGAATTTGAAATTCTGTAACTATCAAATTTGATGAAAGTTAAATCATTGATTTCTATTTGAGCTCAAGACATTGATACGTTTAAAATATAATAGAGCACTCCGTTGAAAACAAAGCCAAAAAAGTCATAACTTGTCAAAACTTGTCAAAAACCACACCATGCTAAAGGACTATCCTTTCTTCGAAGCCGAAACAATGAGAAACCATACGTCAGAAGTCTTTGGAAACAACCTTTTAGTGTCAATTCTGTGAGATTCATAAAACTGCATGGCGTGGTTATTTGAAAGGATGTAGCTAAAAATCCAAGTTTGTTGAAAAGATCAAACAAACCTCTTATACCTGAATATTTTTGGAGAAATACATTTCCCGTAGTTAATTACAGAGCAGAAAGTAGTCGGAAACGTTTGAGAGCCCTCAATCAACAAAGCTTTTTTTCTTATTACAAAAAAGAACACAGATACTAAAGGAGGGTTTTGTCTTAAGCTTAGTTAAAATTGCTATGTTAAAATAACCTAATACAACTTCAACAACTTTTTTTTTCGGAATTGTACATTAGCAAATAAACTTTGGATAAAAATCGAAAATAAGGATAACTTTAATTTTTCTGAAAACTCCGATGTGTACCAGTTTTGTTCCGACCAAAAAAAATGGGAAGGAATTTTGTATTCGAGTGTGCGTTAGTTTTTTTTTCTCTTTTCGAATGTAAGCGCAGCGGAGCGAAGCGGAGCAAGCATATTCTACTAGCCAATGCCACGGTACGGATTCTCGCTTGTTACGAATTGTCCCTTGTTACGAATTGTCGCCTTAACCAAATATCCATCGGACTTGGTTGAGTGGTACATCATATTAAAAACTTTTCAGTTAGGATTCGATAAACAAAAAAAATCCAAAAAAATCTCTGTGTGAGAAGGAACAGCTAAAATTTTTTGGGTTTTTGTCTAATTATGACCAAATTACAGGATGATAACCTGTTTAATTGGTCATTTAGACTAAGAAAAAACATATTATCAAACGGAAACTAGCAATAAAAGTTATATTTGGCACTTCACTGGCAAAATGAAAAAAATTGTTTATAAAAATAGAAGCGCTTCGAGTTTTTTTTATTCCTTAGTAAAATTTTTCGGTATTTTTTTATGAAACCTAGTTCTAATAAATTAGTTTTTATACGCGTGTATTGTTTTAAAATAGTAGTCAAAAAACGACATTTATCTTAGGAATCTAATAACTTGAAAAAACTTTTTTTGTAGTTCTTATGAGTATGATCGTACAATTCTGTGGTACTTGCAGCCAGCAGCCACCAGCCAACTAATCTTGTTTGTTTTATGGTGATATTAAAAAACTGAGTAATTTTTTCACAATTAATCCTGGTGCCCTTTTTATAGAAAATTTAAATTGTGGTCAAACACTAAACAAGAATAGTTATAGTTTAGTAAAAAAGTAGAGACCCGTACAAGCCATCTTTGAACCAAATAAAAACGTGAATCAATTTTTTTGCATTTTCATTGCTTTGTTTCTAACTACTCAATAATTTTCGAAAGAACTTCGGCTACTATGCGCAGTCAATCTCCGTAAATAAGATGAGCTCAACTGCTTGAATTAATAAGGGCATATATCTGCCGGAAACTCCATATCTCATCAAAATTTCGGTCGAGCATAACATCATAAAAACATCAATAATCTGCCCCGAAAACGCTACAAATTGGCGCAAGCTAGCCACAAGAACCGGCAATATTGTCCTTGAGACAAATTTCTATTTTGGGTGGTCAGCCTTAATCAAGGCTGAACCGAATTAGACCCAAAAAACAGTTAAGAAACGTCAAGTGCGGCTATAGCCCCTCGAGTTTATTTGTATTAAAGTATGGGTATGGGGGATTTGAACAAACGCCAACTGGCAAGTCTATATTCCCGGGTTGACAAAAATGCTTGCCATACAGTTTTCATATATGAAAAAAATAATGTCATGATTTTTCATGCAATTTCATAGAGCAAAAGTAAGTGTATGAAAATAGCAAAATAAGCATTTTTTCAATACTATAAAATTGTACGATATGGATTTTACGATATGTACGATTTTCCACAAATCTTTGTTTTGAAATTTTGTTTTTTATTCAAAACACTAACCAAGGGTTTTTTGTCTCAAGAAAAACCAGATTGTAACTGGAAGTTACCACGCAGATGAACTGCATTTGGTGATTTAAGCTATGAAAGTAAAGTTTAACATTTTCACTTGGAGTTATATTCTCTAAAGTTATAATTGAGCACAAAAACAAGTTTGCAACAAAAAAGTGATTAATTTTTTTTCTACCTCAAATTTGGGTTTTGTTTATGAAAAAAAGCATATCAAACAAATTTCATAAATGAAAACTATATGCTAAGCTTTTTTCGGACTAAAATTAAAATTATGTTTTCACTTTTCAAAATGCCCTCTATCTTAGATATAATTATTAAAATCTATTTAAAGTTACCCAGACCCGTTTTTTTTGGTTACCCAGGCCCTCTTTTTGGTTACCCGAATTTGTAATCGTTTTTTTATTGACCAGAAAGCTTCAAAAGAGGCAAATCGATCATAAATATTCATTAAAGTTCAAAAACACTTTTTAAGTTTTGTATGAATTTTGTATGATAAGCATTTTTTACATAGACTTTATATATAAAACTGTATGATATGCATTTTTCTTCCATGGAGGTCAACCCGGGTATAGTACATTCGGAATAGGCCGCTCGGTCAGCTGTGTTTGTTTTTATATGCAGCTATATCCATGTTACATTTGCATTGCAACAGTTTCAAAAAAGCAATTTTTTACAACCTGCAGTGAGTTTTTCAGCAGAATGAGCTCCTTCTCGAGTACACGGAGTAAGACAGTTGTTCATGCAATGTTAAATAAGCTCACCAAGAAAAATGAATAGTTCGCATTCCATTTTCTAAAATTGAATGTTTTCTAATTTTTTTGACTCCATAGGGAAAACTTACTGCAGGAGGTGAAACTGGAATTTTTGAACTCAGAGTCAACTGGCAGGTCCATCAATCTTTTTTATACTTTCATAGAAGATCGTATATTTTATGCAGGGGAATAATTGCAAAATTACAATTTGCAAAAGCTCCTGTACCAAAAGCAATGAGGTCGATAGAACCGTTCATGCCATTATTAAATATTTTTGACAGTTGTTTTGCAAAAAAATGCATTTGGGAGGGCGCGCTCCTCAGTCAAAGTTAGTTTTAGAAGTTAGAGAGAAATTACTTGTTTTTTCATACCTGCACCATATGGTAAGCTCGATTCTCGAAGTAGATATAGGACTGCCTAGAGGATCCATTTGTACGAAGGCTAATAAAACCAAAAAGCACGAGCAAAATGAAGTTGAGATAAATGATTAGATGGTCAATAACTTGCAAAATTATGCAAGTGGATCACTTGACCTGATCGAACTCTTCTTTTTTCAGAAATTAAGATGTTTTTTATTCATTTATTCAAGTCGCACCTTTTTAATACTTTATTTCAATGGAATAAAATTGCAGCAGTAGTAGCGTGGTACTGATCTATATCCCAAGTTTCAGGAAAAAGGAAACGTGACTGAGTATTTCATCATACTGTAGAGTTTAAATTAGAAAAAAAAACACAATCAAGATAAAACAACGTAGAAAAATTTACCATTTACAAGAAAGGCAATTTTACCAGCTTGTAGCGCGTTGTTAAAAAGTAAAATAGATATATTACTTCATTCAAAAAAAGAACGAGTTATAATTGATGCGATTACGACAAAGTGTTATTTTTTGCTACTTTAATTGCGTGTTTTCACTCAACCTTTTTCCCAATTAGCGCAATATAATTTACTTTTTACGGGAAGTGCGCTTCAATTTTATTGAATATAAAAACTATTTGCGTTGCAAACAATATAAGCAACTGTATGTCACTGATTAAAGAACATTAGGAAATGTCATACTGATACAAAAAATATAAGTTTCTGGCGCCATTTTATCTTTTTTTAGTTTTAAAAAGAAATCAGTTTTTTATCTGAAGTTCCTTTTTGAGCCGAGAAACAAAAGACTTGAAAACTGACAAGCGATTACGCAAATTAAACTTTTCCACAATAATAATAAAAAATAAACGTCTAATGTTTTTATCTCTAATTCAATTTTTATCTCTGAAAATGCACCATTTTTAAAGCAAATTGTTTTTTAAAAAGTTGTCAGAAATTTTAACGACATGTCAGTGAAGAACGGGCTTCAAGTTTTTTGAGTTTATTTTCTGAACAACTTCCTTTTTGTTTCCCGGCTTTTCGCTTGATGAACTCGCTTTGCTTGGGCTTGGAGCGGGATTCGAACCGGAGTCCTCCGCTTCAAGAAGTTCCAGCAGCTTCTCCAAGCCTTCCACACTTAGATCTCGATTCTCAGAAAACATAATATGATCTAATCCTCTGTTTTTATCTTTTCCGAGCTCTTTTTTCAATTTGGCATCCTGGTGTTTCTTCCTGGCAGATTCGATGAGGCTGACAATCTGCATAATTTTGTGATCGTTGATGTTGGCGTTTCTTAGATCAACACTGCCAATTTGAGACGTTTCAAGAGCTTCGAAGAGTTCTAAATTGAAAACAGGGTATGACACAAATTCTTTTGTAATAACTTAATTGTTTCTTTTTTTTCTATGGAGGAAACCTTCCTTATTTTGAACAATAACGATGACAAACGTGTAAACGCGCGCTGTTTTTCATTGGTTGAATTTTTTTGAAACCCCTTTTTTCATCATTCAGCGTTGCAAAGCTTTTTTTTTGAAAATTTTGAGCAGCTTCAAGGGCTTTTATAATTCAGGACAGCACTACTAAGGTCATAAAATTTGAGCAGTACATAAGCACCGAAGAGAAATCTTGCTGCTCCAAAGATGAAAACTTGCTCCAAGGAGGAAAAAAATTGCTAATTGGTCTTGGGAGTACCAACTTTAACTCTGAGAGTTGTTAAAAAATTAGGATACCACTCGTGTTGTAAAAGAGTGACTTAAACTAGGAATAGATTAAGACTGTGGATGATTAAGATTCCTACTAAAATTGTAGGCTTTTATTTAAAACTAAATAAAAGACGGGGATTCTAACTAAGATAAAATACGTGTTAAAAGATTGAATTGGTTACGTTTGTTTTGTTACGTATCATAAAAGATAGTGTCCAATTCAGAGTCTACCAAAAGCCGATGCGCTTTTGGCAGGTATATAAATTAACAACTAAAGGTCGGCGGTAAGTTAAGATCAGAGGTTAAATAGACAAACCATAATACTTTTACATTCCCCGCGAAATTTTATCTCTAAACTATCCCTTTCGCCTCATCAGAAGGGAATAAAACAAAAATGATTAAGCACTAAGATGGATGAATCAGTCGGCGCATTGTCTAGGACCCCCGAGAGTGGATCTAGAATCGTTAATACCGACTTGATAACGGGCCCAAAAGGCGTATTATAAACTGAGAAGAATAACACGGTTGTCAGGTGTAAAGGGTGGGTGTACAAAACGCGGAATACCAATGATCGAGCCCGATGGGCCGGACGGCATGTTCGTCAAACAAAAACAAAATTCCAAAACAAAGCACCTTAGATCGAATAATATGTATTCGCCGAGAAATAACTGTAGGTTAGTGACAATAGGCAAGTAAGGAACTGAAATAGCACCAGGGTGACTAAGATCATAAGGTATGCAGAAAGTTGTCGTAAAATTAAGCGGAATACTGGGTATAACCAAAATGAATAAATCTAATTGTTATCCGATGGTAACGCCCCATGGGTGAACAGAACTTTAATGGAATTCTGCAAAATTCTATGGCCAAAACAAGGGTATAAATGTTACCAATCATCACAATAACTTAAAATAACAGCACTGGAGGTTTGTATGACCCTAGGGTCCTGGAATGTTAGGCGATAGACAATAAACAGAACATATAGGTGCTAAAAATTTTACGATGGAGTTTTGATAGGTCGAGAATGTTTTTGATGACATCTGTTTTTGAGCTCCTGCGTCTAATCAGATTCCCGATTTGCTGCTTTATTTATAGTCCATCTTCTTAGCTCCTCCAGCGTCATTGGCCGTCCAAGGAGTTCTATCGCCGAAATGATAGAGGAGGTGTTCAGCCAGTCTGGGTCAGATACGATGGGTATAAATGTAGGAGTTGAAATTTCATTAGATAGGCCCGATGGGTTAAATCGCGTGGAATAAACATCAGGGCTAAATTTGACGTTCTTGTCTGGGCTCTTTTGATCGTCTGTTTTTGAGGGCTTTGGGTCACTTGAGTCCGCGTCGATATCTTCCCGCAAGTGAACTATGGTAGGGCGTGATGATGAAGGTGGTGTTAATGTTGTCAGATCTACTAGGTCGACATGATGGCTTTCTACCGTAGTTGCTTCCAACGTTGAACACACTGCGACTAAATTAGGTGAACCGAATTCTGGGGCATCGCGGTCTTCCTCAGTTAGATCGACTATACTGGTAAATACTCTCTCGCCTAGCATCTTGGGGGGCTGCCTGGTTCGCATGGGTCTCGTGTTTTGACGTTTAAAAATTTCCGATAGTTTTTTCGAGGGTGGTGATTTCATTGGGGATGAGGCTTTCCTTTTAGCAGTACCGGACAATTTCTGAGACTTTGTAGTGTGGTCAGAAAGTATTTGTTTCGGTCCCATCTCCGCCATGGTAGTTTGATCTCCAGTAGATTTAGGGAACTTTACTCCGGGATTCTCTGAAGGTACCGGCATTTCTTGGGTCGCTTCATTACTCTCCTCCCTAGTGTCTAAGAGGATCAGCTGTGGGGTCGCTTGAGAGTCTCTATCATTGTCACCGGAATCCAAGTTGATCAAAGGAATCTCATCTAACTCGACCTTCTGGTCGGCGTGGTCTGATGTTTCTAACTTAGGATCTGTTCGGTCGGGTATTAGTGGTTCGTCTCGTTTCGTGGTTTCGAGCAATGTTTTCTCCTTGAGGTCTCTTAGTGTCATTAAGTCACTCGCATTATCATCTGACATATCTTCATGTGAGTCAATCGTCACTCCGGGTTCGTTTAAATAACTTTTAAGAAGTTCGGGTTTACCCGACGGGCTTGGTTCTTGGTCAATCTCGAGGCCAATCGGTGTTCTCAGTCTCTTTCTCTGTTCTTCTTCCTCTCTAAGAAGAGTTTCCCTAGAACTGTTCATGGCCGCGTTTCGTCTCGCAATGTCAAGCTCTTCAAATTTCCACTGAAGGTTTCGTTTCTTCTGGGTTGTTTTTGAACTTTTGAATCCGACATTTCTTGGAGGTTTTGCTGTTTTCCTGAGTCCTTTGGTCGCGTAAAATCTGACTAATTGGTCTCGTTTTCTCGGACTTGGTTTCTTCTGAGTGCACTGTCTTTTAATGGCCGACGGGTTGTTCAGAATCGAGTCCTTTATGCCCAAGGCATCTCTTTTTTCTGACCGGGAGAGGACTTTTACTGGGGATCCAGCACTTGTTGGTACGTATCTCACTGCATTTGAGATATCCTCCGAGGATGATGAATGTTCATCGGCATCTCCATCTTCAATGTCGTCAGGAGCGTCCCAGTCATGTCTTCGCTCTCGGCTCATTAGTTTTTTGCCTTTATCTATACATAACAAAGTTTTATTCCAGTCAAGGTTATTCGAAGAAGGTGATTTAACCAAATTATGCCAGATAGTGTTTGGGGATCTACCGAAATGTGCTTCGAAAGGAGAGCAGTTAAGCGACTGTTGAGTTACTGTTCTTAAGCATTTTATTATTTTCAGGAGTGCAGATTCTAAAGAAGGTTTTGGGCGTTCTTGTGCCATCACCAGGAGTCGTTCCTTAATAGTCCTGATTAGACGTTCCACTAATCCGGTAGCTCTGTGATCACCCACTGGGCTAAATATCACCTTTATGTTGTGATCGTGGCAAAATTCTCTAACTTCCTTGGAGATAAAACCAGATCCTTGATCTGTTCTAATTGTCCTAGGTATCCCGTGTAAAGCGATATATCGACTAAGGAAGTTAATAATAGATTTAGCCGATGTACTGGATGTTATTTGGGCTGATGGGAATTTTGAAAATCTGTCTACACACACCAATATGTATTTTTTTGTTCCCCATACTAAAGGTAACGGGCCAGCGAAATCTAATTCCATTTCTTGGTTTGGTTCTTCGACCATTGGGAGTTTCCCTAGGGTATTGTGTTTTATAAGAGGCTTCAGATTTTTACCTGCTTTTACGCACTCTATACAGTTTTCACCGTGGACTTGGATTTCGCGGTAAATTTTCGGCCACCAGATGTATTGTGTTGCCAGGCTTTTCATTGCGAACTGGCCGGGGTGAGCTTCATGTAGTCTGTTCAGCATAGTCGATCTTAGGCATGCTGGGATTACTAAACGGTTGTCCAAATAGAGGCATCCTCCGCTGACATGTAGATTATTCAAATATGACTTATAGTAGTTTCCGAGTTGTAGGATATCCTGTTTTCTATCTTCCTCGATTGCCTTGATTATCTTTTTCAGAATTAGGTCTTGTTTCGATAAGAGGGACATAAATTTAGTGTCAAATATTTCCGGCCAAGAGAAAGGGAATAAGTTAACTGTTTTCTTCTTGCTAGGTGATCGATTCTCGGGTTTTTCCGACGGGTTACTAGTGTTTGGTGTTAAAACGTCCGTGTTTTCTTTAATAGAGAGTTCTTTTTGTTGGTTAAATTCAGTTTGTTCTGCCATTTCTTTCAGGATTTTAAAATTCATAAAAAAGTCGTTAATTTTGCAGGATGAATCACACAGTTCTGTACGCGAGTGAGAATTTTGACACACTGAAATGTTTGAATGGTTAGATATCGCTTGGAAAATTTCGGCGGCATTAGCAATTCGTTTCTCACGTTCTATTTCTTGACTGGTCATATGATCTGTTGGCTGGCCAATCGCATTACAAGAAGTGACGTCATCTGTTAAGAAATGTTGAGAGAATTTATTTCTTATTTGCGCCCACGAATTTTTTGGCATAAGGTGATCAAAGCCTAATAGTGTACTAATCTGGTTTACAGATGCGATAACGAACTTATCGTCATCCAGGGAAACTGGTACGGGTTCACCCGATGGGTGTCGGGATATATAGTCGACAAATCCCATATCTTTACCGGGTAAATGTTCTACAGTAAAGTCGAACGGTAATAGTTTATCCGCCCAACGGGTGAGACGTGATTGGGCCGTTTTAGTGTATTTATCGTCCTTCAGTGCTCCTATTAAGGCTTTGTGATCTGTTAAAATTGAGAATTGTTTACCCAGTAGATAATTTTTGAAATGATCTAGTGCCCAGACTAATCCCAGTAATTCGAGTTCGTTAGTGCTGTATTTCAGTTCGGCGATATTCAAAAATCTGCTAGCGAACGCTACTGTCTTCCAATTCCCCCAATGGTCTTGTTCGATTGACGCGCCCAATCCTAAATGTGAGGCATCACATTTCACCCGAGTGTTCAGTTTTACATCGAAATGGTGGTTTGTCACAGTATTACAAATTTCGTTCTTGATTTTTTCAAACGCTTCCGTATGTACAGTGGACCACTTAAATGGTTTATTCTTTTGCATGAGTTCACTGAAGGGTGTTGATAAGGA